AGCAGCCATGAGGTGACCATGCTCGCCACCTCCTGCACCTCAAAAATAATAAGACCTCCCTGAAAATAAGGCCAAGCGCTCATTTCGGAGGTCAAAAGAGAATAAGACCCTGTCTTATTTTTGGAGAAACACGGTGTTTGATACAAAATCAACACTTCTAGATTAAAATGTTGTGACAGAAGGAGTAACATAAAGGACAACAACTTTGCAAGTAACATAAGCTCTAAAACATCACCAGAATGAATTCTAAAGTACTGTGGGAAGAAGGTAGCAAAATTTTTCACAGACTAAGGAAATGTTCAGGAAAGGGAATACCAGATTTTTAACTTCATTCATTCATCTGTATTTAGTTTAAAAGAAAACGGGGTGGGGTGTTTTTTTGAGAGAGAGTTTGTTAAAGAGAAAATCTTTAGTTAAGCCGCTCAGAATGTGAGGCTGTATTCTCCTACAAATAGGATAGATGTATGTTTTATAGATTGTGCCAAATGTTTTCAAAATGGTTTGCATGCTTTATACATACCCAAAACATCTAGTTTTCGTTTAAGGAAAGAGATGAAATCTGTATGCCTTAATCCATAATCAGAGAGAAGGAAGGTCTGTGTATATTCTTCTCAACTCAGCAGAATCCCAGGACTGGTTGCAAAAAGCAAAATCAATAGATAAATTCACTGGTAGGAAAAGGTGCCGTTGGATTCTGAGGGTGTGCAAAACATTTAAAGCTTTTTCTGGCACAACGTTTTGTGCAATGTCCCATTTTGCCCGTGAAACTACTTAGAATAGTTCCGTAAAATTTCCCGTTCAAAATAGTTTGGATTTTTAATTGTTTGGTCTGCCCCTTTTATGGCGCTGTTGCCCTTAGAAACGCATTTAATGCTGGCTTTTGAATGCTTGCAGTTGAGCAGGAGGCATCTGCCTTGCTGATCTAGCAGGGAGCGAAATCCACCGCAGCTGTATTTAAAATAGGGTAACAAATTGCGCTTTCACCCAACGCTCTTGAACATTGTGTCCCCGATGGCTGCTTAATGGTGGTTAAAATCAACTCGTTCTCAAAGGGAGAGAAAAAGGCGAATGCTGTGAAATGCTCAGTGAAGAATAGCGAGGAGTGTAATGTGACTGAAGCTGCATTTCGGGAATGTCCTCGGCTGACAAGCACAATTTGTAATGGAAATTTCAGTTGCTAAAGCAATCGTGGTTTAATAGCAATAGCAATAGCAGTTAGACTTATATACCGCTTCATAGGGCTTTCAGCCTTCTCTAAGCGGTTTACAGAGTCAGCNTCCCTACTTGGGATGACTAATAAACTAATCTTATTTAAGAGCCCACTGGTTATGGATCCAGATGAAGAGGAACCTGTTAGACACCGAATCGAGTTTTTTACTGGGAGATTCAGGAAAAACAATCAGCCACGAGACTCTATTTTGTACAAGTTTAGGGTACTTTCTGCCTCCTTCTCTTCCTACACGGGAGGCATAGAGGGCATTTATACACAACTCTCCTGTAAAATTGCTTATTTGACAACGGCTGAGTTCTTTGGCATGTCATTACGCTGGGTTCGTTGGCTGAGTAGGAGTCAGAAGAATGCAAGCTGCCAGATCTGTCAGTCACCCTGAAGTTTATGCTTTGCTCTTGTTTTACATGTGAAAAGGCTGTTTGGCTGCAGCCTTTTGTCTCAGTATGAGAAACAAAGAGAGGTTTTTTTTGGGGGGGGCAATGAAGAGGTCTCCCTTGTAGGTAAGCATTCAGCTTGCCTGTTGGATTTTTTTTTTTTAATGTGCAGATGTTCCCTTTTGGAATGAAAATAATCTTTTGTGAGCAAAAACCAGAATATTTTCCAGGCTATTACCAGGCTGGTACTTCTAAGTGAATGGCATGAGGAACTTTGCCTATGGGAAAATTCAAGTCCTGGTATTTCCAGTAAAGACAATCAGGTTTGCGTTGGTGAGAGAGATCAAGGGGTGCTGGTTGGTATCATTTTGTACCCCAAAAAGCAAGCAGCTTCATATATTATATATGTTCGGATAGGTTGCCTTTTGGACCGCAAAGAAAACATTGTCTTTTTTTTTTACTTCTTGTTTGTGCAACCATGCTGTACAGATTTAATTGGCCCATTTAATGCTCCTGTTACTGATTTGACAAGCTGTCAGTG